GCCCAGGCGCGCCCCGCACACCGGCCATGGGCTGGGGCGGGACGCAGTTAGCCGCGCCGGCGCCTTGAGGCTGAGCTTGCGGAGAAACCCGAAGGAGCTGCAGTGAAGCGCCCCAGTCTGGAAAACTCGGGTCAACCGGCGCTCAGCAGCAGAGCTCTCCGCACTGGCTGCAGCGCCGAGCGAACCCTGCCGTGCCCCGCCCCGGCTTCTGTGCGAATAGCCAATCCCAAGCCTCTGCTTCTTGTCCCCGGAGCCAATGGCCGCGAGGCACAGCCTCCCCCCCACCCCCCGCCGTGCATTCTGAACCCGCTTCCTTTTCTCCGAGGGGACGCCCCTCTTCCGGGGGGCTTCCAAATAAAAATAGAAAAGGGAAGCTCGGCCCTTACCAGGGCCTGTTCCTTCTCAGGCTTAATTTCATTCATCTGCTCTCAATGCAAGGGCGTGACCTACAAAGCGGGCGTGGGCAACCTACGGCTCTCCAGAAATTGATGTTCTGCGTCTCCTGTTATCCCTCGCCATGGATTGGAGTGCGCAGGGAGGATGGACGCCGAAACTGAACATCCGGGTGGTTAAATAATCTTCGTTCCTGGTATAAAATGTCAGATAATGCCCAGAGTACTTTTCCTAAGTAGCAGCTTGTCTCTGCATAGCTAAGCACTAGGAAACAAGACTTCTGTGAAAATGCCATGCTTTAGGACTAGAGGTCTTTAAGCACGTTCTTTTTCCTCCTCTCCCCTCTAAGGGTGCTCCTCATGCCCCTTAAATTGGTCTCCCCAAGGCTGAGCCATGCATGTGTGCTCCATTTCAATCTTATAATCCCCAACCAACATAGCTATGGATTCTGAGAGTTGAAATCAAACCAAGGTGTCGCATGGAGGAAGACTCTTTGATTCACAGAGCAGAAAGTGATTTAAAGGTTAACCATCACCTTGAACAATGAGGTTAGCAGAATGCAAATTAGTAAAAATATAGTTTGAGTTTTCCACCTAGCCTCTGTCATGAGACTGGCAACTGAAGTCTGCATTAGCTGTAACCTCTAAACTCTCTTCACGCTCAGGTCCTCCTAGAGTAGCTTCAGTAGGTAAGAAGTGAGCAATGCAGAAATAATGCAATGGCCATAAGTTTTTGCTTTGCCTCTAAGTGCAGGGCTACATACTAAGGCATGTTTGGACCATGCAGCATAATATGAGGAGAACATTGTGTCCAGAGGCAATTTTGATACCTCATCTGGGTTACAAGAGCTCTGCAGTAGTAGCATTAGGCGAGTGTGGGCATATTATATTTTAGGCTATTTGCTCTCAGCCAGCCCAGGGTTTCTTCTAGAGGCACCATTTCTGCACCTGAATTGAGAAAGGTAATTGGGTGTGACTAACATATTGATAGCATTTCAAGGCTACTCCAAACTGACAGCATATTTTTTTTAATATAAATCACACTGATTCTTGCAAGATTCTACAGGATAAGTCCTATGGAATCAAGCAAGCATCACTATTCTGTATGTAGGGGTATAGGTATGGTACATACACTTGCTCTTCTTGAATTTCACTTGCAATCAGTGTGATCAATGTCATGGGATGCTAAAAAATATAGTTCGGCATCAGTGGAGAGCCATATAGTTTGTCAATCATTAAACCTCACAGTTTATCTCTCAAGAATTTGGGGGGTTAACAGGTCAAACGATGATTGAGATGTTCATCAAGACCAATGAGAACAAATTTCCACATTGATCTAGGCATGTTGCCTACCCATCTTGAAGCAAGTGCCTGTGGCAAATTGTCTGCACAGTGTCTGGCCTTTTCAAAATAGCCAAGTAGTATTTGCTAATCTCTCAGGATAAATATAATCTTACAGCAAGTTTTAGCTTGCCCTGTGTGTTTATCCCAGGCTTCTGCCTTGCAGTGGTTATAACAGAGCCTCTGTTCAGCAGTATACTAATCACATTCATATTGTACCTATGATGTTAGTGCCAGCATGAATTTGGGATTCAAGTGATAAAGAAAGCCTTCATTCTACCCTCTCTCAGGATCAGATCCTATCTCAGGGTGATCCTACACTCTCACTGGTAAGAGGGAAGGAAGTAAATAATTATTGCCATTTACTAGCTACAATGTTTCATGATGATCTATCACCTAAAAGAGCTCCGTCTCCAATCCACAGCGTCGAGGAATTACTGCATAAAAACCATTGCATGAGAAAATGAAATGCCAAGAAGATAAAACTTTATTGGACTAACTTAAACTGGTGTAGAAATACATCTTCTATACATACGTTTGATATTTTTATTTGATGAAGAATTCCATGAAAAAGTGCATACTCCCAACACAATTTTTGGTACAGTAAAAGATGCAGCTCTGTGTATTTTTTCATTTATCCTTTGGATCAAACCAGGAAATAGGGTGAAATGTGAGGAAAAAACTCATGTAGAAATACACATTGATTTGCAATGGCTCACAATGATAGGAGATAATACGTAAGTAAATCCTGCATGGACAAAGACTTGGACTGGTTTCAACTAGTTGACAAAGTTTAAAAAATATGTTAACATGCATTGATGACCAGGAAAGACTGGATGAAATACTTCAGATCTTTTGATAAGTACAAAGAAATGTGGAGTGTATGGGGGTGTTTGGGAGCCTTGAATAAAGAGGGGTCATAGTGTGCCTGGATAACCCAAGATATGGTTTAACTAAAAAAAAATATTTTGCAGATATTACTCAGTCCACACTTAATTGCCACCGATAATACTGCATGCAGTAGAGCTACATTGGGTCTTTTTAGCCATCTTTGCACAAACAGTAGATGGGGTGAATTTGTCTCGGGACTGTTCCACTTCAGGCTTTCCTTCTATGATGGAAAACTTTCCTTAATCCACACAGATAAAATACTAATACGTCAGGGATGAGGCAAGGCAAAGGCCCTTCCTTTCCTCTGACATCTAACATTGCTGTTTTAACCAGGCTTCTTCCTAAAGTTTCCTTTTAGAGTTTAAGACAGAAAGGTAGCTTAAATATAGGAAACTCTGCCAACTTCTTTTGTATTTAAAAGGCTGCAGATCTGAATATGAGTTCCTTGATTCTTCCCTTTGGTTGAAATGCCAGAAGAACCCATTCATAAATGCACTAACAGCAGCTGGAAAACAATGTGAATCAATCTACTCCATGAAGCACGTAGTGATATAAGGGGATTTGCCACTGTAGGATATAATGATGGCTACTAACTCTGAAGGCTTTAAAAGGGATTCCATAAAAATGATATACCTCTGAATTCCAGCTGCTCCATAGAAAGCTTTGTGGGCTCCCATTCCTCATTTGATTGGCTATTAGGGGAGCAGTTCCGCCGGACCAAGCGTTGCTTAGATCCAACCAAGCTGCTCCCATCTTCTTGTGCTCTGTGCCTCTTCTGAGATTTTTTACTTTTTCACAGGTGTTTTCCCTTCTAAGGCTGTGTCCTGGCCATGCTTGCTTCAAAGTAAATTCCACCAAAATCAGTGGGATTTACTCCTGAATAAACATGCAGAAGCTCCTAATTGCTCCAGCTCTAAAGACAAGATCTGAGAGCAGGAAACAATATCAGATTGGAAACCAGACTTGTAAAAGACAGAATTACCCCACTGGCAATGTATTACCTCACACATAGAACACAGAAGGAACACATTTCTGAGGCATAGTTTCATTTAAGACATTAATGTTTCCATCTTTTCTATAGCAACACAACATATTCACTCATTTCATATTTGAAGAGCACACATGTGATTTGATAAAATATGCCGGTGAAATATACTACAAACTGTAGGGAAGATGAACAGGCATTAGGGCTGCATTCAGCTCCAGAATTACTTTGCAGTCTCCAAAGGCTTCTCTGATCCTGCTGCTAAAGTTCAGACAAATGTTCATTGGACGGTATATTTGTCTGCCATTTTCAGGCAGGAAACTAAGTAAAAGCATTGTTTAAGCTTTGGAATGGAGTTAAAAACCTTGCAAACTCAAAGAATACCATAAAAGACCAAAAATCCAGCCTCACTTACTTTGCTTGCTTGCTTGATTTGTCGTATTTATATAGCCGCCCATCTTACATAAAAGTGACTCTGGGCAGCATACAACAATTACAACCTAAAAAGTGGGAGGGCGGGGCAGGAGGCAGTGCCAGGCCAGCACAAAGTTGCCTCCTCCTTCATTAAACAGATAGGAGGAGCTGCAGCAAATTATTTAATGTTTCATCCAGCTTGTCAACTTTTGGCCATATAGTTGCTATTGACTCACACTCTTGGGCATCCCAGCCAGCATAGCCAAGAGACAGAATTGATGGAAGTTTCCTTAGGGGTACCAGGTGTAGGTTGCAAATCCCATATGGCCACTAGATAGCAGCAAAGATTTAGAAGTATCTGTATCTTTCTGCTGCCATCTAGTGGCTGTACAGCTCTGTGCAGCCCAGACCTGGTAGGTCTAAGGTGCAATCCAACATTTAGAGGGCAACCATCCCTGCTTTATTCGGTTGCAGATCCTGACTGGTTGCTGTTATTGGCAAACTACTTTCGCTTGTGCTTCTATGTGTAGGCCTTATCCCACCATATGTCCCTTTGTAATTTTAACTGAATGAATGTCAGACTGCTACATTCAGAGCCTTTAGCTCTGACAGATTACTAGACTTGATCCCATCAAGGAAAAAGGTGGCACCTTTGTATAGGAGGATTCTGTGCTTGGGGGAGAGGTTGTGTGGAATGGGACTTGAAGGACATCAGTAGAATGATGTTTACCTTGTCTAGAGCTGCTATCAGATCCTCAGCCTTATCCCACCTTAACTGATAAACATAAAGCGGAATGTGTCTGACCTGTATGTGTTTCTTCTGCCTTAGGAGCAGTACAAAAAGTCTACTGCTTAGCGGGTAGTCCTTCATAGCAAAAACAAGAGTCTTGTAACTGCTTGAAAACCAATGTGGTTGTGATCGTATACAGTTTCATGGATCACAATCCACCGTCAAGGGTTGCGA